ATTTGTCTCTTATAGAACATTGCATCCTTAAAATGCCAAAATGCAAGATAAAAGACTTCAAAACAATCTTTAATTTTTTTTCATGTAATGTTGCCACAGCACATTTGGGTGAGTTTTTTTTCGTTCTTTTTTCTACGTTTTCAATCAGGTTCATGGTTTTGTGTCCTACAAGCAACATGCCTGATAAAACAATATAATATTATTAATAAATGCCTTTACTTCGGCTTACTACAAATCAATAAGGAATAAAAATATACTAAGAATGTAATATCCAAATGACTGTAATATCCCAAACAGATACAAATGACCTGATTGTTTGGAGACCATAGTGTGGACCAGTCAAATCCATCACATGACCAGAAAGGTCTTTCGAGTATTTTTTCCAGACCAGATTTCTCTTCTTTTAAATTATCATTGGAGCAAGGTGTGATGACTTTCTAGCATCAATTAATACAAACTGGAAGCAGGCAAAGTATTAATTAAACATGACACTCTGATTATTTAAACCTTCTATTAAAGTTGATTATTCAGAGCATGTTGATAACCTGCTCCTCAGAAATGACTGATGATGTCAAGCTTTGCTGGCTTCCTCTAAGACTACTATTTCCACCTCTACAGAACAGAAGGAATAAATGAAGTGAGAAGAACACTGGAACAAGTCTAATAGACAAACCAACTAATCTCAGACCCCCAAGGTCAAAGGAAAGCAATTCATTTCTTGGCTTTCATCAACACAAGACATGATTTATCCATCTCAGAGTAGGATCACAAACACGATACATCTCAATGATACATTCTTTGTACTGTGTAACTGCCTGAACAATGACAGATGGCAGGGTCGTCGCCAAAGTAATGTCATAAGGCAAAACTCATTATATTTGCAAATAAAAACACTTTCATTTTTAAAAAAACAAATGTGCACATTAGCAATCATTAGGATTGCACATATCAATTGGGAGGAAAATAACATTTTAAAATTCATATGTTCTTTGGGAGTCTATCACCTTCGTGGTCTAGATGTTGGACATTCATTTCTTCAAAATACTCTTCCTGTGCCAAAATATTCAAGCATGCAGCCATTATGCAATAAACAGGTGAGTGTCAAATCCAACATATTTCTATTATCACAAAAATTTCAATGATCATTATTGTATTTTCACATAAAAATGTTAAATAACTATAAAGGGATTGTTTCTTCCATAGATCCAAAACCAGTCTTTGAATTAAAAAAGTTATGAGAAAAAATCAGGGAAAACATTTCTAACGTTATAAGTGTAATCAAATAAACCCAAAACTTTAGGATTAGGTTTCACAGAGTAGATGAGACTTAATAGAAGTGAGAAGTCATGAGCTCCTTATACTGATGTCATTAATCTCTCAGTTCAGCTCTCACTTGTTACAGCACCAAGGAACTGCTCTGTAAGGCATGTTCTTCCATATCTGAAATTATTCCAGAGGAACATTAGGGGCTGTGAGATTGCCCCTGACATGAAATCCTATGTAAGGGGTGGTCAGCTGGCTCAGGAAACCTTATTCCACATTCTATATCTTCTCAATCACATTGTGATTTTCACTGATCTAAGTTCATGATCACTTTCTCCATTAGGTCGCAATTTTAGGAAATTTTATTGCCCAGGTGGAGGAAAGTAGAGAAAGGTGTCGCATCTTCAGCTGATGATTCATTTCGCCAGCTGCCAGAAAGATGCACATTGCTGCACACCTGGATACACGCACCGTGACTGATTGGGAAACACATTTATCTTGGCAGTTCACAAAGGAGATGGAATTGTAATTATTCTCCCTTGTAACAAAAGGTATTTTGGAGCTTTCTCTATCTACAAAATAATACAAATTACACATCTGGACAGGGCCCACAGAATTTTACCATCTGCTCTCTATATTCAACCATAAATATTTCCCAAAGCATTTTCTGTGTTTAAAAAATAAGACTTAGTTTTGAAAGACCTAGACTGATTGTCAACATCACAGAGAAGTGTGGTGTTTCAAGACAGAGGATAACTTGCTCACAACTCTGAATTTCTCTGGTTGCTAAATATATAATACAAATTTAACCTTTACTTTCCATAAGGAGATTTTATAAACTCATATTTTGATTTTGAGGAAATAACTTTGTTAGCTAAGGTTTACATAGAAGACTCCATGCAGAAATTGCCTGTCTGAGTATCTGTTATGAAAGGACAAGAAGGTATCAACTATAGCCTAAGCAGTTACTTACCATATTGACCTGGAAAATCTAGAGATTCTTAGTAATCTCTCCTGAGAAGTAACTTCCTTTAAGACCTTAAACATAATGTTAAATTAAAGGTTTCCTAGGAATATTAAATGAAATTTGCAGAAATCCTGATTTCCAGAAAGTAAAAATATCTCATCCAACATAATCAGTGATAAATCTTACTTCAAATAGGCTTTGACAGCTACTTTTAAATTATTACAAAACTCTCCTGTTTTCCTTTAAAATGTTGAGTCTATTTTCTCTAAATTAAAAAAATTCAATGAAACCTATACATGAGAATAGAAGTGAACAAAACGCTTATTCAATTTTAATACTGAAAGATTTCTGTGTATAAGAAATAAGACTTTAGTTTATTTTTTAAATAAACTTAAAAAGTTTATGTAAGAACAGATTTAAAGAGCAGGTTTCAACATGGTGTAAAATAATTTTTCCTTAATTTCTTTGAAAAAACAATGAAGAAAAAGAATTTCTGGGAATATTGAAACCTTGGAAACACTTATTTCAATAACATTTTACCTAAAATAAGGATATGCTAATAGCAACAATAGTCAAACAATTATGATTAAAACATGACAGTCACTAATCTGAGTATTTATACATATTAACTCATTACCACAACCCAGTGAGGTCAGGGTATTATTATCCTCAATCTTTGAGGTGAGGAAATTTCTGTTCAAGAGGAAAAACAACACTGTTCTTTAGTGTTTTTATAGACTGAATCACGGACGTGAGCAGTGTGTGAAACTAAGGCCCTTAAATTAGAAAAGAGAGATGCAGAGAGAGAATCGTGCACTACCACACCACTCCGAAGAATACGTCAGGATCTCAGGCCGGGGCATCAGGCCATGAAGAGTTTGGGATTATGCTTAATACATACAATAGTACACGTCAAATAAAAACTATCTAAAACTGTTAAATAGTATTAAAAGAGAACATGAATTGTGTATATGCCACTGATACACAACATAACAGTCGCATCATGGGCCAGAGACACAGGCCTAAAGTTGCCATTGTTTTCATTTTTTGACTTAAGACAGTTGTAAACCATGAAAACCATAGCAATCTCTTTTGCACCACAAAAATTCAATATGTATTTTACATAAAATCTAGTAAGACCCATGTTTTATTTGCATTTCCACTTACATGCTAATTATTCTCAAAAAAACAAAAAAGAAAAATCAAGCTATGATGTTTGTACTCAATTGGCCCAGATAAGGCAGCTTACCATCTCCAAGTAATGCTGGAAATAGCTAGTTCCTGCTAAGTGTAGGTTCTCTACCACAATTCCAATTATAAATATGACAATACTGTCATCAGTTTGTCACATACCTCAATAAAATAACTTTACATATTTAAATTCCATACTGATTTGCATAACACTTGGTTCAAATAGTATGAAACACCATTTTAACCTCAGTGGTTGGTTTACATGTTGAAACTCTTACAGTCTTTGTAGAAATTTGATCAGTAATCAGTTTGTTATTTCCCAATATAATAAATGCCAGCATTCCTCAGCCTACCCTCATTTGAATTGCCAACCTCGGGTATGTGCTCTCTGTCTGTCCTCCATACTTACCTAGGGAACACCTACTCATAAAGCTGCATGTCCCTTGACTTACACATTTCCCCCGTCCTCTCTGGCAAAGTGGGTAACTAACCTATTATTCATCTTGTAAGAACTTTCTAGCACAATGAGTGGGATATGGTAGCTGTTCAATAAATGTCAGCTGAATTAAATGATCATGTGATTCTGTCTATATCTTACTTCTTAGAATTCCTCTCTTCTGTCTATAGATTATGCTATTTTCCTATACAAAGTTGAGTGTGATGCAATCATAAATTAATTCATTTAAAATGCATTATATCATGCTCAGTGAAATAAGCCAAAAAGAAAAAGAAAAATACCGGATGGTCTCACTCATAGCAGGAGTCTAGAATACTTAAATAAGGGACCAGGAAAATGAATAACTATAAGAAAGTGAAAATCAAAATCAACAAAAACTATGAACCAGAGACACTTTTTGGGGGGTGGGGGGTGGGAGGGGAGGGATTGGGTCAGAATGGGGGGATTGCAATTGTATGGGGAATATAAAAATAAAATTTATTAATTAAAAAAAAATTATTGAATTCTAAAAAAAAAAAAAAAGAAATAATGGAAGCTTTAGAAACCAACACACACAAAATAAATAAATAAATAAAATGCATTATATCAATCATCATCAAATCATCTAATCATCAAAAGTTAAAGCAATCATCTTCATTTGGCATGGAAGAGTTACAAATTTATAATATTCTGCAGTTACTTCTAAGGTCTATTACTGTTTAATAAATAAATTTTTCTTTTAAATTGGATAGCTATGGAAAATTCACACAAATAATGTTAGAAATGATCAGCTTGTGGAGTTCACACTTTCTGGGATACCTGTGGGCAGCTGAGTGTCCACGCTTAGTTGTATGCATCTATTTTTATGCAATTGGTTTCCTAGAGTAAAACTTGATTCTTTTCTTTTTTCATATTACCAGATCATTTCATGTTGAATTAAAACATACAATACAGTCAGTTACATTTAATCCATAATAAAATCAAATAGATTGTATCTGCCTAAGAGCAATGTGATGATATGATGACAAGCAAGAATAAGCAATTGATTAACCCACAGTTAATTCCCTGTTTAGCTTTACTTTTTCAACAATATAACCTTACACTTTATCCCTTTTTAATATTTGAGTAAATACGACTACCTACTTTTCAGGATTATCCACTTCTTCAGTAACAAAGTTGAGATAAAACCTGAAAAGATATAAAGGAATTCAGTCTATTAGTATAGTAATAGATGAGTCACATGCTGCATATTTAAAATCAAATTCAGAATTATAAAATGTTTGTAAACAAATACTTAAAACAAGATGAAAATCTCCAAGAACCCAAAGTTTCTATAAATCCTTTTTCTTTCAAACCATATTAATGGAATCCTTCCTTATTTCTTGATACTTTCATAGAGGCAGCGAGTGCAGACAGCAAAGTGCACAAACCTTAATGGGATATTTCCATAAAGTTTGACTTAATGATGCACCTAAGTAACCAGCACCAAGACCAAAAGGTAAAGCAACAGCAGCATTCTAGAAGCTTCCCTCTCACGCTTGCTAGCTCATCCCTCCTCTGCCTTGCAAAGAACCATTATTCTGACTTTTATCACCTTAGTTTGCTTTTGCCTGTTTCATCATAATAGGGTAGTATTTGCTTGTTTGACTATTTCAAAATATTTGGTCTTTGGTGTGTAGCTTTTTATTGGGCTTTATGTGTAAGACTCTCATCCAGCAATTCTCTCATCCAGCAATTCATTATTTTTCATGTTTCTTTTTATTGGACAGGCTTACACTATACATTCTATTGTTCATGGGCATTTCACTTTAATTTATACTATTACGAATCTAGACACCACGAGCAAGCGCCGGCGGGCCCTGCGGTCATTCCTCTCCGGCACAGACTCACAATATGATCACGGGGCTATGCGCGGGCTGGACGTGCCTGAACTGCCAACTGTTGCCCGAAGTGGATCTCCTGTTTTGTGTCTCCGCACAATATATGAGATGATCAAGCATCGGTCATGGGCTAGGAAAGTGGAACACCCCGAGTCTCTTCATTCCGGGAGCCCCGTTTCTAGACGGCCGTGGAACTTCATGGTCCAGGATTGGAGGCAACATCTGGGCAGGCCGGGGCATGGTCACCTAGCCTGGCAGTCAAGGAAGGTTTGGCAGTAGGGGTATCACCCCAGTTTTCTTTAGAAATGTTCGCATCAAGCCACAAAGTGGAGTGAATACATTTCAGATGGAGTGGAACTCAGGGGTGCAGGGGAGCACAGCCCAGGGGTGTCAAACCAGAGGGGCAGCACATGGGCAGCACTTGGCCTTCACAGCACAAAGTGGGGGGTGGGTAGAGTAAGAGCAGAACTGAAGGACGAGAGCACCTTTGGTTTCTGGGGTCCAGATTTCATTAGTGGAGACAGGGTCCTCATGGGGATAGGGTCCGTCACTGGACACGGAGTTGAGACCTTAAGTGATAGATGCACCTGCTGACTCACAAGGACACACAACCAACATGTGCACAATGTAACCATGCAATGTTACTGCGATTAAAAAAACAAAAAACCAACTTTATACGGCAATAGAAGTCTGACAAAGGCATCTCTAAGTTATGGGGAACTGGTTTCCCAGATATAAATGCAGGGAGCAAAAAGAAACCAAGAATGGGATGAAAGATGATAAAGTCTCCATTTGTATTTTTCCCTTCCATGTACTGCAGCCCAGCGTGTGTTCCAGCCAAACAACCTCAAGTCCCAGGACAATCAAGCCGCTGTGTTAACTGGATAACAGGCAGCACAATTTTGTGGTTTGTCATGACACTAAAGTTGATACTAAAGAACAGAAAACGTGGGGCAGCTCCTAAAACCTGAACACTTTTCCGGGTCTCTTGCCTGACAGGAAGCAAGTGAGGTGCAGGGACACCCTCCAGGTTCTGCAGAGCTGCAGAGATACGCAGACACCTTTCCCTCACATTGTGACTCCACGTAGGTCACACAGGAATGTCGCCCTCTTTGCATCCTTGACTTCTTTTTCCATCTAAAGGGACCACCACAGTCCCTTTAAAGCCCTTCGAGTTCTCTGTCAGGCTCCAAGGTGGGAGCCTGAGGCAGACCCTAGCTCCAGTGAGCACATGGGTTACATGGACGAGAAATCTAGGACTATATTAGGAAAAGCTAACCATAAAGGCAGAGGCTTACCTCTTTGTTTTATAGGAAATTTCCACAACTGAAAAAGTTCTTCAATACACTCGACTGTCCTCTTATTCCTTCATTATTCCTTAGACGGGAAGATGGCCTTTCTACAGGTATTCAGAAGCACGAGTCTATCAGTAAGCCTTAAAACCTCTCTATGCACTAAAGTATCCCATAACCTAAAACAAAGGGGAGAAAAAAAATCCTGTCCTGTTCTAGCTTTATAAAAACCCCAACCAAATTCACAGAGGCAGTCAATGTTGAAGACTTAAAAACAAGACAAATCTAAGATGGAGTTACTTATACTAAGCCCCACCCGCTAAACTGAGACTGTTCCCAGGCATGGAACCTTAAGCCAGTCAATCAGGGCTCACCCAAGCAGTGCTAGTCAGACCATCTGCCACCCCCAGTGGATGTAACCTCGAAATAACCACCTGAGCTTTTGCTTAGTCTGGCTCCCTGGAGACTCCAGCCCTCCCAGCCACGCACTGTATTCTGCACAGCTCCTCAGAGCTCCTAGTCTGGGTGTTGCCTGATCTGAATCTTTTGTTGCTCAAAACAAACTCTTAGAGTTTTTAACATGCCTCAGTTTATATTTTAGCAAGTCTCAGTTGCCCAGCAAACCAAGAACTACGTTTTAAGTAGAAACAGTAGAATAGCTGAGAGAACAGTAGCAATAAAGGTACCCTGAAAAGTTAGTGGCCCCAGATACTTTTTATTTTTTTAAAGATTTATTTATGCATACAAGAACTGGGGTGCAGGCCAGAGGTGTGGAGGGTGAGAGGATTCACTAGAGTCAGAGTGGGGAAAAGAAATACACTACTGAGGGGAGCAGTGGGAAGACAGGAGAGGTCTGTCTGCTGCACCATGTGGGCAGCTCCCTGGCTGGGGATCAAACTCATGCTGCAGTGGCTGCAGACAGCCTCATAGGTTGTGTCCTAACCCCTTGTGCCACCAGGGAGGCCCCCAGATACTTTTTTAATGACAGAAAATAGTTGCTAAAAAAAAGAAATTGTAGTTATGCCAGGAAAGCAAGCAACAATCAATACTTATATCTGGAATATACACTCTGAGGGGTTTGCTGAGTTTGTTATAAGCCTGAGGCAGTGGGAAGTACAGGAAGAAAATATTTCCCTCCCCCACCCCCCCAAAAAAAAAAAAGAGAGAGAGCGGGAGAGAGAGAAATGTCCAGGCTTCTCATGTCTAAAACAGACAGTTCCTTCTTTAGAGGCGTATTAGAAACCGATCTTTTCTGACAATGTTAAGGCAAGAAAGGACATATTTATAAGAACAGAACACAGTTTCAAATATTTGCCCGAGAACAGACGCAAGGAAGGGGCCCGGGGGCTGAAGGCGGGAGGGAGAGGCCTCTGTTCTGGTCTGAACACTCACACCCTGTGGGAAATGCTCCTTTCTGTGCTCCGGGTCTGCAGCAACGAGCCTGGAGCATCCCCTGTGCTTTCTGTCTCCTTAAGGCCTCTAGAGAATGTTCACAAGGCCTATTGTCCCCGCTTCCCCACCACTGTGTCTGTGACTCCACGAAGCGGGTGACGCGTTCCAACACCCAACTATGTGAATTATTTTAAAAAGCAGCTTATTCTTTAGATTAGATTTGACACAATGGTACAAAATAATCCCAGCAGGTGCTTTAGAAAGACCAAATCCATTGAGGATAGGATTTAAAGGGGAGAAAAAAAGGCGCTGAAAAACTATTTTCTATCGCACGGTTAAAAAAAAATAAAAAATCGCACCAAGCAATATTCGGCTTTGGATCGGGAGATGGGACTGAAATTGGCTGAGTTCCCCCGCGGTCCCCGGGGAGCAGCAGGCCTGTTTCTCTGCACGCAGGCCTTGGCAGTGATATTAAAGTCGTTCTAACCCAACTCTGCGACCTGGCTGGGTTAATGATTTCTTTTCCCCTAATCATGTTTCTGTGAAGGGGTTTTTATCATTCTAAAAAGGTCCTGTACCCCTCAAAGCCAAGGGCCTACTCTATTCAGAGCCAGGGCTGGCTGGTGTCTTTCTTCTATTCAGCCCACAGAGCTGAATTGCTGAGCGAGGGAGGATGCCTGGACAACCTCAGTCTTGCTGTTCTTACTTGCGCAGTAGGTGGTTAAGTTCTGGTGACAAAGGCTGCTTCTGTCTTGTGGATTTGCAAAGCCCCCCACTCTGATTTTGCATCAAACACTGCCATCTCCTGCAGTCCCTGCACAGAGTGGGAGGCTGACGGGTGGGACCCTGTTCGTATTCCATGGCCCAGCTGCCAACTCACCAAGACAGACAGGGTGGTGAGGAGGGCAGAACATTCGGGAAATGACTGACAACCCCCTCTCTGAGAACTCTTTGAGCCTCCATCTTGTTTCACTTACATGCAGATCTTAGTGTTTCCTCTAGAACTCCAAAACAACAGACGCTTTCTCCCTAAGCCACTCCATTTTTCTAAGACTGACGACTGTCAATTAACAGCCACGTTACTTCTACCTGCTCACAAGATGGGGTTCAGGTAGCGGAACAGCCTCGCCTATAACACGGCTGACTCCTTTCTCCTCCCTGCGATAACACCCCATCTGAAGTTCTGGCCTGAGCAGGTGGGACGCGCAGTGGGGAGCAGGCCCCATGGGCTGTGGTGGAGGGCAGTGGGGCTGGTGGTGAGTATGGCGTGGGGAGGGCCTCTTCAGAGGAGTGAACCTGCACACTAAACCACAGACAGTAGTGTGGACCAATGTTACTGCCAAAAAAAAATTCAAAGTGCAAACACATACAGATTCTTAATGCAAGCAAGCTTGGCCTTGGTTTCCAAAACTAATTCAAGTTTTGATTAAACTCTCAAGAGAGCCTCCCCTGGTAGGTGCAAGCAGTTGAGCGCTGCACTGTGAAGCGGTCTGCAGCCTCTGCAGTGCCGGTTCAATCCTGCTGGCAAGAATCCCACATGGCGCAGCAGACCTCTCCTGTCCCCCCCGCTGCTCCCCTCGGCAGTGTATTTTGTCAGTCTGCCTGTTCTGCTCCCCGCTCTGTCTCTGGTGCATCCTCTTACCCTCCCATGCATCTGGCCTGCACCCTGGTTCTTATATAAATAAAAAATAAAATAAAATAAATAAATCTTTAAATAAATAAATAAATAAACTCTCAAGAGCATAAGAAAATCAACAGCATCCTCTTCTTTAAAATAAGAAGTGACTGTGAGGATTATTTATATGGGTCAAGTATATATAAAGGTTCACTTAAACCCCATTGTAAACAGAGGGTTGAGATAAATTTATAGGCCAAAGATAGCGGGGCTCCGGACCAGGTGTCACATCCACAGACAGCGATGCAGGTGAGCCTTGGTGTCCAGGACATGCCTGCTCTGAGAAGAAATGCAGCCCAGTCCATCAGCAGCCCCACAACCAAGTCACACCCGGATTCAAGCCGCATTGCCTCATGCCTTATTCATTTTCTATTTTCCTCTTCCTCGTTCCTTAATCTTTATCCTATAAAGAAATCTTCGGCCTCATTTTGCTGTTCTCTGGACTCTTGAGAGAAGAGACAGCAGCTTCATGAAGTATTAAAGTTTGTATCATCTAAATTATCTTTTTAAATTGTTTGAACAGGAGTAACATGTTGAGTTCAGACAACATAAAATGAGAAGGATCTTCAGCCGATGCATCCACCAGCCCGCCAAAGCCTTCAGAGGTGGAGATGGGCTTGGCCGAAGCAGGGAACCTGCATGTTCGGTGCAGTTGTGGGGGAGTTGCTGGGGGAAGGACATGTCAAGATTCTGTGGGAAAGCAGCATGGTGTTCACAGGCCAAAGAAACCCCATTCAGCAGAATTAATCAAATCTCCCTTGTGACTATCACCGCATTCCACATTCCTGATTGAATATTGCCTGGCTCCCCACACTTGGCTCTAGCTGAAAGCTTTTGTCAGCTCCCCACTTGGCTCCGGGGTCCCCTGGTGACCCTCTGCCCAGCTTGGCTGTGGCCCCAGGGCGCCCGAGCTCTGATCCCGGCTGAATAGCCCTAGAAGAGTGGATTCTGCACCAACCGTGTGATCACAGCTCTGCTCTTGTCTCTGAGTAGGACGGAAATAAAGACTTCAAAAATACTGAGTGATTCACAGCTAATGCTTACACATAACGACTGTAAAAACACTCCAGGAAAATACCCATATTTTACACCAGATTCCCCAGAGCTACAACCCTCAACATATTTTTCTTCAAAAGACATGCTAAAATTGTAAGGTCCTGGACTCTTCTAATTCTGCTCTACTACCATAGGTTCATAATTCAATGAGATTAATAGGGTAAGCACTCCATTTATTTTGAAATATATCTTTATAGTCCATGCATTTGCTGGAAGGTAAGAGCCTAAAATCTAAAGAAAAAGAAAGAGAACGTGTTTGAATGACATTTACATAATTTTTGGAGCTACTATAGTTTCCCGATACTGTTTTCAGGTTTCTAGAACCTTCTTGCAGCTAAAGCCATGCCTATATTATACACATATAACCATGCCTATATGTGCACAATACAAAATGACTGCTGCTACTAATTACTCCAAAACAATGAAATTTAATCTTACTACAATGATTTTGATGTTCAAATAATACCTTTGTACCTTGTGGGCTTTCTGGCAACTGTTACTTCAACTAAATTTTACCTGATTAATAAAAATGAGTTAAGAAAAATAATTTCACTCTTCACCATGATTTTTGTGATTCATTCAGCTTCTGGCCAAAGCAAGGTATCACAAACTCTTCCTGCTTTAGCCAGTACTGCTGCACAGCTGGGTATGCAAGAAAGCAGCACACCCCATACTTAGCGATTTTAAGCATCTTTGCTGCTTATTTTTTCAAATGCAAGTAAAATTTAAGAAACTAGTAAGGTCCTTTATAACAGATTATCTAGTGCAGATGATTTCCTTATCTCAGATTCTCCTTCCCTGACTTTAGAGAACCATTTACCTCCTGGGAATGTCTTGCTTATTTCTAGATCTGAATTATTTCTTTCTCATGGGAAGGTGGAGAAAATCAATTAATCACTCTTGTATCCCCCTTGGAGCTTCCCCTGAAAGGCCTTTTGGCAAGCAAAGTACTTTAGTATCTCCTGGCACTGTTAGATCCTTACTGCACATGCTTAGAAGTGATTTGCACTGGTTCTTAAGACCCAGCATGTTTTGTTTTGTTTTCTTTTGTTTTGTTTTCTTTTGTTTTGAACATCAGGCCAAGCATAGCGGTCACCTTGACTAGAAAACCCAGTTACATTGACATTAAATCAAGTACACATGGATTGGCCTGGTGGACGGGGCCCGGCCGCCATCTTTCCCACCTTGAGAAAAGCTGATTATGCTGCAGGGGGGCAACTCACACTTGCCTCACATCTTCCTTGGCACTTAAAGTATTTGAAGGAATAAATGAATGTAGAAGCCACCAGATGGAAAGAGATGGACTCACCAGCCTGCGTACGCATACATCCCATAATAAAATGCCAGCGGCAACCCCATCAGGCTCGCGTCTCTTCCCAAAAAGGCATCTTTGAAGTGTTGTGTTTGCCCTGCAATGAGAATAGAGAGACTCTAGGACTTTTCAAACAATTGTTGATTATTCATTCTTGAGCCATAAACATGAGGTGGGGGCGGGGAGAAGGAACAATCCTATTACAGGTCTAGCCATCTTACCCTCTCTGCTCATTGCCAGCTTCAGCTGTTACAACTGTACCCATTCTCCACAAAGGGCTGCCAAAGTGTACTGACCACTACTAACACCACATCACATTTCTCTTCACATAAAACTGCAGTAAAGACAGCAACGGCATTTACAAAACAATCTCTCACTTGGACCTGCCTCTGTTCTTGACAGTCTGACCACAAAAGAAAACTTAAGGATCTTCTGTCAACAATAGTTTCTAGACTTGTGACAGAACCCTTAAACATGAGGAGGTTCTATTTCCTAAGAAGAAATTCAAAGAAACCTCCTGGAAAGACATTCTCAAGGAGGAGGTGACAATATGTATTTCCCCCTATAGTTCACTAGAGACCAACAGGGGTTGGAAAACCCTTTGGACCAAACACTCCCCAACCCCATCAAGCTTTCTTGCTCATCAAATGTTACCAGAGCACAGCCAGGCCCAGGTGTGCCTGGGCTACACCAATACTGTCCATCCATGGCTGATTTCACCCAGAAATAACAGACTTGGGTAGTGGTGACAGAGACCTGTGGCCTCAAAGTTAAAAATACCATGCAGCGCTTTGTAGAGAAAGCCCACAGATCCTGCCCTAGAAAACTGCACAGCTTCATCTAGAAACACTGGAAAGAAATTACACCAAACTCTACATAGACTTCTTTTTGCTGGGGGGTAAGGAGGGTGCATAAAAGGAACCTCTCACACCGTTGGTGGGAATGTACACTGACTCAGCACCTCTGGGAAACAGTATGGAGGTTACTCAAAATATTCAAAATAAATCTACCGTGTGATCCAGCAGTCCCGCTGCTAGGTATCTACCCGGAAAAAGCAAAAACACTACTGGAAGGTGTTCACTGCAGCACTGTGGAAACAACCCAAGCGCCCAAAGACACGTGAGTGCATTAGGAAGACAGGGCTGGATGTGCAATGGAAAACCAACTGTCAAAAAATAAGATGAGCTCTTGCCACTTCTGACAATATGGACAGACCTGAAAGGGTGGCTGCTGAGTGAAATAAGTCAGAAGGACAAAGGCAAACACTGGACGCTCTCACTCGTAGGTGGAAAATGGAGACACAAAACAGAGGAACTAAACCAAAACAGAATACAACTAGAGACATGACTGCAGAACTGAGGCTACCAGAGGGGGAGGGAAAGTAAAGGTGGGGGGGGGGAAATGGGGAAGGGGTTCCAAAGGTCTAGGGTAAAGGAATATGGGGGCCTTGGTGGTGTGTGTGGTGGCGACATCCATCTGAGGAGGGTACACCTATACCCTTAAATCGTATGCAGTGTGGTAAACACGTTACCTCAACAAAAAATTTAATTTATTAGATTTTAACAAGTTTTGCCTCGATGTGCAGATTAAGCATTTATTTTCCACTACTTTGTGCCTCCTAAGTCCTTTTTCTTGTACATATTTTGGAAAATTAAAAAAAAAATAGAAATCCAGATTTACTTTACTCAGCCAATATCAAAGTTAAGCAGCAAAATGTCTTTATTTCCCAAAGAAAACAGCAAATGAGAGCACCCAAATGGGAAATGAGACTTTGTTTCAAAATTGGTCCTCATAAAAATTTCTGCAAGGAAGGCAGACTATGGGTGAGATACGAGACTCTCTTCAAAACCAAACCTCACACCGTAGCGGCAAAATAGGTACAAGTTTTCAGACTAAGCATAGTGAGTTACACACTAAATGGATTTTCCCTTGACGCATCCGGCTGCCCAGTACAGTTCATTTCTGAAGTGCTATGGTGAATTCAGAAATGTTGTCACTAAAACATCTCCGTATTCTCACAGAGGTAAATGTAAATACTGGAACCGAGATATGGGAAACATCCATTGGACATTCTTTCATCAAGAACTATGATCTTCGTGACCTAAAGGGGCACTGTTCCTACACGTCAAACACTGAATAATCAATAGGAGAAACCAAACTTGGTAAAGACCAGGTCCCCGGTGCCGAAAAGTGCTATTTCGAGAGTATTGCAAGAGGCGTTTCTAAACTTCAGGAATATGGTTGCTGCCTACAGAGGCCTCTCGGGTAGATGAAAGTCATGATATTCAAAGGAAAGTTTAGCAAATCCTCTTAAGTAAATGCAGAACACACCACTATGTGCAGGATCTGATTAAAGTAGAAAGGAAAGCACAGTCTGTTTTAGTGAAGTATTTCTCTTCCTGGAGTTTCAAATTAATGTGAAAAATATGTGGTCGTGGGAGATGGGGTGGAAAAAAATCACCGTTTCATACCGATAGAGTAAACATTCCAGCTAAGACTGCTGTCCAAAGTATTAAAATTTACTTGAAATGTGGTGATGCTCTCTGGGCATTTATGAGGCAATGAGGTGTAGCCGAAGCCTTTCAGCTTATTTACATAACGTGTCTTAAGTATTAATTAAAGCATCATCCTAGAATAAGGTCCAAAGATACATCATGACCTCTGCTCTCCAGGAATTTGAGATACAATAACATGGGAGCAAGTGAATCTCGCCACCCCCCCACACACACACACACAGAACAAATTGACTGCTCTCTGACATTGTACCAAAAAGAAAATGCTAGAAAAAAAATCTTAGTTTGCAAGGATAGTAGATCACCTTTTCTAATCTAAACCTGGACTAACCTAGGATCCATGGACCAGAGTTTCTGTCTTTCCAAAAATGGAAGAAACTCGATACACAAGACTAAAAAAAAGGAAAACACAAACAAAACAGATGATTTTGCCTGCATTCCCCAGGGGTCAGATATTAACCCAAGCAGGCCGGCCCTGTGAGGGCGGGTGGGAGCCAGGGCAGCGAGCTCAGGGCCTCTTCTGTGCGAACCACAGTATTAACAATCTGGTCTGATTCCCCCAGGGGCTGAGGATGCTGGAGGCCGACGCCCCCCAGGTGGGCAGGATGCCCACCCATCCCATCGCAGAGCCCCGCAGCGCCCCCTTGCGGCCGCCCTCGGAGGCGGCTGTTGGGCCTCCAAGCTCAGGGCGTCTTGCTGCAGGCTGGCATTTCTTTTCGCCTTGTGCAATTCTGCCTCTGCGACTTCATTAAATGCCCGTATAAACTTCCTGTCTTGGAACAGGCTGTAGCAATGTAAATAGTACATACTTAGCATGCCCCAGCCATGCTTCGCTCCTCCACCGCCTCCCCTGGCTCCCCTGCTTGTGCCCTGAGATGGTGCCCAGGCCCCGCGGGTACCTGCCGGGGGCTGTTCCTCTTCCAGCCGTTCCCACGGACTCCACGCACCGCGCGAGCCTCCTGCCCCACAGCGCTGCTCTAAACGCCAGCCTCCCTCCCCCAGCTCGCCCTTCCTTATTCAATAGCACACTCCAAAACAGCACTCCCAGGGAAAAGGCTCTTGCATTTCTATAAGAAGTGCAGATTTGAGGGGCCTCCTGGGTGGCGCAAGGGGTTAAGACGCAACCTATGAAGCCATCGCAGCCTCTGCTGCAAGAGTTTGATCCCCCCCAACCGCCCCGCAGCCCCAGGGAGCTACCCACATGGCGCAGCAGACCTCTCCTGACTCCCCGCTGCTCCCCTCAGCAGTGTGTTTCAGTCAGTCTGCCTGTTCTGTTCCCCACTCTGTCTCTGGGGAATCCTCTCACCCCCTCACACCGCTGGCCTACACCCCAGCTCTTGCATGCATAAATAAATAAATCTTAAGAAAAAAAGAAATGCAGATTTGAGAGTAAAAATACTGGCACAGTAAAGATTAAATTTCCCCAACTGTTTTTATTGTCCTGTCATACTTGGTTGTCTGGAATGCTATGCCCATTGCCGACACCCCTTCTGTGGAGACTCTACCCACCAGATCAAAGGAACAATAATGAGGGCCTCCCTGGTGTCCTAGGGGTTAAGTCTCAGTGGTATCACCTGACAGCCGGAGCTCAATCCCTGGCCAGGGAGCTACCCACATGGCGCAGCAGACCTTGCCTGTCTCCCCGCTGCTCCCCTCAGCAGTGTATTTCATCAGTCTGCCTGTTCTTTTCCCCACTCTGTCTCTGGTGAATCTTCTCATGCCCACACCTCTGGCCTGCACCCCAGTTCTTCTATGCATAAATAAATAATCTTCAAAGGAACAATAATCATAAAAGGATGATTGATCACCTTTCATTATTTTCAGGTCTCTTGCTCTCTAGTCTTTATTGCTATCATGAACTATTTTAAAATAAAAACAAGAAGACATACTTTCCCGTCGTTAATAGCAGATTCTCCCCCCACACACACACTTTGAGTTTTCCTTCTTAACAGCTCACACCAGACAGGAGTCACTGCTGCCCCTCCTGTGGCTTGACCCCGGCTGCTTCTCTTGCTGCCGTTCAGCTGCAAGCCCCCCTGCTCCCCCCTACAGCAGCCTTTCTAATCAATGGGATGACAGCAGAGTGAAGGTTCCACAAGCAGAGACTCATTAAGAAAATCTGCCAGAGCAAGGGAACGCTCCTGCGAGAAGAGACGGAAAGCAGGTAGGTATTTTAAAAAGCATTTACTTTTCAGTCCATACCTTTAATTAGCTGCATGACTCCAGGGACTATAATTATCAGGATTGCCGTGAGCTTGCAGAAGGTCAGGAAGATCTGGATCCGGGCGCTCCAGCTGACGCTCATGCTGTTCAGGACCATCACCACCGCTGCAAACAGACACGTGTTACACGGCGCCCTGCAGGAGGTGGGGGGGCTGCTCCCCAAGTGCCCGCCAGGTTGGGGCTACCGGGACGTTTCAGAAACCCTCATCTCAGGCGGTGCCCCCAGACCTAGTGACTAGAAATCTGCATTTCCACAAGATCTCTGGGTGGATTTAATGCAAGTTAAGATTTGCGAAGCTTGGCTAAAAGCTGCAGACAGGACGGGTCGCCACTTGCTCTTTGCAGAGGGCAGGGGCCTCCGACTGCAACCCCGGGACAGTCAGATAAAAACACCTCCGGGTCACATCCTGAAGGACCACGGCCTGCAGGGCCAAGTGCAGAGACCCCCGCCTGGCTCAGTGCCAGCCCGCTGCGCTGGCCGGTTTAACTCCCTACTTTCAGGTAAGCACAGGAGTGACTTTCACCCCCTAAATAGGTTGGTTTCCAAGTCATGTTTCCTGAAGAATAATGTAGGAGTGATAAGAGCAAGAATTTCAGGCGCGAGGGGTTAAGTCCCAGCACTATGAAGCCATCGGCAGCCACTGCAGCACGAGTTCGATCCCTGCCAGGGAGCTACCCACATGGCGCAGCAGACCTCTCCTGCCTCACACGCTGCTCCCCTCAGCAGTGGATTTCAGTGGATCCGCCTGTTCTGCTCCCCACTGTCTCTGGTGAATGCTCCCACCCCACTCCCTACCTCTATGCATAAATAAATAAAATGAATCTTTTAAAAAAGGTCAAAAGAGTTTCCAGTGACAACCGACAAGGGTCTGAAGCAAAGGCATTTCCTGTCTCCTCCAAGCTCCCTGCAGGCCTGGGCCCCACTCAGCTCCCTGAGCTCCCCGCACTGGGGCAGAGGCCCCCAAGGAGCCCCCAGCATTACCTCCATCACTAGCAACAGCTCATGCCTCACCCAGGAGGAGGTCAGGGAACTGCTGAGCTGAATCCTTAGTAAAAAGAACAACAAAACCACCTCAGCTCAGGGGCATGATATGAAAGGCGATCTGCTCAGGCCTCCTTCCCAAGTGCAGGAAGGGCCGTTGTTACTCTAGACGGTGTATTTCAACTTTACATTCTTTCCAAATCCTATATTTAATGCCATCCCCCCCCAAAAAAAATACTACATACATGATGGTTTCCGTTATTATCTATAAACTTCGGTTTTCAAAAAGTTTATTCCCTCTAAACAAATAACAAAAACATATGAAGGTACGTCTCAAGAAATGAAACAAGCACTTAATGAATTCCTGTCACTGCAGCTGCAATAGGAAGTTTTCCCCCCCGCACAGCAATACGTTATCTTCATGGCTTTCTTTGCCTGATCAAATCAATAGCTCCTTTCAGAATTTAAAAATGAGTGCAACTGTGATCAACCCATCCTATATAGCAAAAAAAGTTTTAAATAACCGAGACCCATAAAGGAAAGCTAATTCAGGTATAGCTTTGTAATGGTTAGCTATGCCACCCTTTAAAATTATGATACAGCTATATATTTATTACATGAAAGGGTATTCATCATATATTACTGCCCAATACAACAAGTTATAGAGCGGTGGGTGGGTGGGTGGAATAGAGAGATGATAGGTAGGTAGGTAGGTAGGTGGGTAGGTGGGTAGGCAGGCAGATAGGAAAGAAAAGGAGAAAATGTGAATGTGTATTTGTCAAAACATTGACATATCCTCTATAGATGATGAAATATTGAATAGTTCCTAGCTTTTTCTTGTCTATGTTCTGCATTATTTTAATTTCTGTAATAAATAGGCATCATATCAGGTAAAAAATCAATAAGGCCATTTTTACAAATTCAAACATGAGAGATACACAGATAAGCAGGCCCCACACAAAGTTCAATCAGGGTGACTAATGAAGAAATGTTTCCAAGGCCCCAGGCTGGGCAGGGTAGCAGTTCCGAGAGAGCCATGTGGGCGCTCCGGGAGATACTTCATCTACTTTTGAAGCTGAAGACTTGAAGAAACGGGCAATCCCAGGGTGAATGGCAAAGTGCATTATGTTGTCAGAGGAAGGATAAAAGTAAATCATTTCTCTCTCCCCAATAAAAAGCACTTATATATTGAAAATTAATGCAAGGTTGTTCCCCCTTCCTCATCCAGTGATTCTTTTTCTTTTTCTATGCAAATGACTCTGTGATGAATTAGTCATCATCCTATGAAAAGGATTACTTTTTTTTTTTTAGTGAGGGAGGTTCAGCACTGGCCTGAAAGAAAAAAAAAAAGGTTTCACATTCCCTCCAGCAACAAAAGAGCAGTGTGGGTTTTTTAAAAAAATAAAGCTTCTAAACCCCAGGGCTCTCTCTTTCTGAAAGTATTCCAGAATAGAGGGGCGCCTGCGGAGAGAGAAGGGGGACAGGAGAAAGGAAGGAAGGGAACAGGGGAGGAGGGGCAGGCAGGGAGGGGTAGTCTTGCTCTCGAGCATCTGTCTACACAGCTGAGAAGAGGAAAGAGGCTGTGACTTTCATAAAGAGTTTATTTACTGAGTGCCTATTGAATGGGGAAAAATGAGTCCATAGGTTTTTCTTTCATATCTTGTAAAGTTTTCTTAGAAAAATAGAAGATAAAATCAAATACACAGATTGATAATCTAAACTTGCTTTCCTCTCAGAAGGCTGAAATAAAAATTCTGGTTAAGACTGATTTCTCTCAAAGGGTTCACAAAATCCTGCTTTATCTGGGCATGCAGACATGCGCGCACCAGTGATGTGGAACATGAACCCACTGGGGCTCCCCCCACCAACCCCGGCCCCAGTGACCCTGAAGGACACAGCTCAACAAGGAGCTGGGCGCCAGCTCGGAGCAGGGGACCTTGTCCCGGGGCTGCGACTGCTGCCTCACCCCCCACCCCCTTCGTGCCCACTGCCACATTGAAGTCCATGCGTGTTGCTCATCTGACAACAAGGAGGCGGATTTGGGACTGACCCAATACAGGAGTATTCTGAGTTCCTAGAACAAATAAAAGCAACTTTTATTTATGCTATTTACCCACATTGTGATAATCAAAGCAATGTGAGCAAGCTCCCTAGGCTCCTTTGCGTCCCTTTGAAGAGCAACTGCTAATTGCACATATCAGGAAATACTTGTATCAGCTCAGGCTTGCTTGCCCATTTTATTTATCTGCAGCTTCTTTAGCTCACCTTATATTTTACCAAAATGAAAACACAGGGACATTTCATTTTTATTTACTTATTTATGACGCAGTTTCCAAAAGAACTGAAATGCAACTATGAAAGTTCTATGTATAAATTCTGGAGAGAAGAAACCCAGAGCTGAGAAGCTGTCTCTGAGGAGAAAGTTTAGGAGTCGTGAAGGACTGATGCTGTGATTTAAAGACCGGGGAGATTTTCTTTCTGCACTTCTGTAATTCAAGTCTGTCCGGTTTTACAAAGTGAGATTACCCAGCCTGGATATATTGAGCTTTCTCCCAAGTTCAGGTTCTGCCTGCCTTCTGGCTTCTGCTGCTTCATGCTAAACTGATAAAATGTGTGAAAGCTGGATGGATGCTTTACAGTGAGCTAACATGGATTGTTTTACTGTTTTGTTTTGTGTGTTTTTTTGTTCTTTTTGTTAGAGCTGCCTGAGCTCTTTATCTCTCCATCAGCATTCATCTCCTAGATGCATTAATTTCAGAGAGGATGTGCAGCACTAAACACCTGCCCAAAGCAGACAGAATGTGCATAGCTAGGGCCTTGCTACAGGAAAGAACGGTTGTGATCATTAAATAAATGTAGACTCTTATTATATGGAAGAAATTGTGCAGAGACTCTGCATGGATATCATCCAATCTTTGTATCTTTATGGCATGGCTACCAACACTGGCCTTATATTTCAGATGAGCAGTGAGACATGAGATATTGTTTAAGTGGCCTATGTACACACAGGTAGTAAGCTACAGCTGGAATTCAGGTAAGCTAATTCCAAAGTCCACACTTTCCTCATTAGTTCACAGACAGTAATGAGGAAGTAGCTTCAAAGACATGTGATCTCAGGAGTATACTTAGTTCTTTCAAATTCCTGACGGCTCTTCCTCTCTGCTAAGGTTCATGTTTATCTTGGCTGGGATTTCAGGACACTTTGACTCATATTTTGTCTGTCATCCTCTTGAAGAATATGGCTGTTGTTCTGCAGTACTTGTGTATTTCAATACTACGTGTATCTAAGAATTCATTGTCTTGCTAATTTAGTTAGGTATAAAAGGATAAATACAGCCAGACTTCAAAAAGATTTATACAGAGCACTCCACATGCTATACACAAAATTTAGCACAAAATCCATCTTAGGTTTTCTTTTATGTCATTTAAAGATGCCAGGAAAATAGTTTTGAAAAAGATAATATAGCAATACATGTAGAAAACTGGCTACTTTTTTTCACAAAGCAATCATAAATGTTACTTCTCTTACTCCCCACCCCCACCTGTATAAATAAACTAGCAAGGAAATTGAGACTCAGAGAAGTTGCTAGGGATGGAGCTAGGACTATAGCTCACTGTTCAGGTAAGTATTTTTTAATAATATTCTGCCATAAAGTGTTTACTTACAGAGCAGCTAGTTTGAAGAGACCCTAGAAACAGATGGAAGAATATTTTAGGTGGTGAACATACTTCAACGTTTATTGAATCTACAAGGACAGTGATCATTCTGGAGTTCCATAGAGGTAAAGAGTATAACGTCAGTTTTAGGCTACAAGAGAACACTAAATATGAACATCTCACACTTCCATGCACCTGACATGCCTAGAGACTAGATGGGAATTTGCATAAACAAAATCTTTTTTTCCCCCTTTATTAATGTGACGTTGGTTTACAACACTGTACATGACTTAGGGATATAGGTTCATACTTCCTCAAATATATGTTACCACACCTCCCTCACCATCAAAGCACCCAAAGTCCTTTAAAGTAAAGCACCTTCATCTCTTCATTAATTTGATGGGTAAAGAAGAGTAGTTTGAAAAGGGAAGGAGAGGAAATTAGCAATTAGTACCTACCCACCCTACTTGCTATCATTTCTCAAATGGCTGGTTAATATTTCACAAAATTTGGACTTTTTTTCTATGATTCGATTATAAAAACACCCTTCAAGTTTGCTCTATTACACTTGAACTAGAGATTTCCAACTACCACAAATGATTTTCTTCCCCAGGGAATACAAGGGAGCAATTCATGCAATTAAACTCCATTTTCTACTTCTCACTAACCTTCTGCCCCTAACAGGAAGAAATCACCTAGACTCCTTTGAATGATGCAGAAATGAGAGATTTACCCCCAGGTAAATTTCTCCTCTTGTCACCATCTCCACTCCCTGTTGCTCCATTAAAGCTAAGTTCTTCTCAAAGACAGCTTGACTTTCCAATTAGGCCACTGATTTACATTACCTACCACTGAATCATAAGCACATCCAGATTTCTCTTTCAGTGTTTGATTTTATGAACACATTTCCTAGAATCTCAAGCTTGCAAAAAGTCAAACTTTGTAAACTAATATTATAACTAATGGCAAAAATAGAAGGAAATGTCTAGAATCATCCAAGATTTACTGAGATTCTTCACTAACTATTCTATCACTAGTCTCTACTAGGGAAGTTTTGTAAACCAGAATATAGTTATCCTTATATATAATTGCTTTAAAATTGTAGTTTAAAGTTTCCGTTAACTCCTCCAGAACACAAATTTACCCTTTAATATGTTTAATAGAATTGGGATAAACAGGCAAAGTCATCTAGACTTAACAAAATAGTAAGCTGCTATCATCACCCATTTTGTTTCAGCTCCAAGCTGGGCTATATTTGTAAATATATAAATGTTTGCATAAAATGTAAAAACTTTTGCTAGTTATAGCTTTTAATTTGTATTGTCAATTTAATGACCTCACAAGAACACTACCCCTACCCTTAACTTTTTAAATAAACTAACTGTGCTGTGATTCTGCCTGCATGATCAAGGGTCCTGCAGAACCTGTCCGGGTCCTGCAGGAACTCCAGATTCCATGAAGAAGTTTCCAGGGACAAGGCCTTAAAAATTGGACACAATTCATCTTTCTACAGTCACTCAAGATAGATTATCTTTTCACAAGCATTTTAACAAAAAATGAAACTGATGCTTAAAGAGGATTACTATTTTAGCCCCAAGTGCCATAACTAAGAAGCTGTAACACTAAGTTTCAATTCCAGATTGTCTCATCCAGTCTGAGCTAGAACCACCATACTAATTACCATGGCCCATCTCACAAAAGCTCTTGTTATTAAACCTGAACTTGACAGCCAGCAAACTCAATTTCATTTACCACCATTTTCCTGTTGCTTGAGAAAATTGAAGCTGTATAATCCTTCAAGATTAACAAGTAGATATTCTATAGACTTCTCTGCTAGAGAGAAATTCTTAGACTTCTCATAAAAATCAGTCAATAGATAAATATTTATAGAACACATGCTAGGCATTATGTAAGTTGCTGAAAATATTACAGTGAATAGGTCTCTGGCTTCATGGAATTTCAAATAGTATTTTTCCACAAGAGTACAAATACTACCATTTGCAATTTGTTCTTAATAAGTTGCCCTCATTACCCAAAACACTTCACATATAGTCTCTATCAATATCATTTAAACCTCATAAAACACCTTCTCACTAACAACCTGGTCTTTGTTTCTCTATTTTTAAAAGGTTAACCATACAATTGATCTGATGCAATACTGGCCTAGAATATATTATCAGGAATCACTCCAAATCCCTATTCCTGTCTTTATTTTCCAACGCAAATCATCAAGGAAAGGTAAGCAAATAGGGCGTACTATGGGGAGTCATCTCACCATGCAAAAAGTCCAAAAAAAAGTGTATCTCAAAAAACATTTGTGAATTTTTCCTTTTTCATATTTAAATCTTTAATACTCACTTATGCCCACAGCTGTAATGAGCTTGACTGCAAGTTCAGGAATTTCACACTGAACAAAAAATGGCTCCAGAATGTAGCGTCCAAATGCCAATGATATCACAGCAGTGGCTGCAGGGCTAGAAAACATATACTTAGATTAACTACAGGAAAAACAAATGGCACCTTCTTTAAACTTCTTCCTTGAAGTACTGTTATTCAGCATAGACAACATGTTAAACATGATGGTCTCAAAATCTTGGAACTCTTTATTTCTTAGGTTATCATAGATATTCCATATGAAATATTGCCTATAATTCGGGAGCCAATTTTTAAATTTCACATATGCTAGGAAGCACCACCTCTGCCTCTGATCACCCATATTTGACTTTTCCCCTTTAAATATCTAGCTTATTAACATTCTGATAGAACTGGGCCTCGCAAAAAAGCAGCCTCTTTCTCAATAAGTCAGCAATTAAATTCCAATCACAGTATAAAAGGGTTAATGGCACAGATCTAATGGGTCAGGGAATGGCCAGGAAAATTAACACAAAACCCAATGAAAACAATTAGCATCAGTAAGGTTGCTTTGCAGCTCTAAGCTTATGTGTTTGACATTGTGCTATTTTTATTTTTCCTATACAGATAAAAACTTGAAGGGCCAAGAGATCATCCTTGATTCCATAGAAATACTTAGAGGCAAAGTATAAGTCAAAAAATTTAAAAGTACTCATAATTTTGTACAACTGAGAAAACATGAGTGAGGTTAGAAAATGAAATAAGTTCAGGCATACAACAAAATAGGTAATATACCCCTCTCCTTTAATTCTTCAAATATTTCAATGAGAAAATTACACATTATTTCAGCTTGATACATGTATGTGAGAATGCATATTCTTAAGATCCACAAGTCCATGGATTTCCCTAGTGCCAATCTTCCCCTTCAGTTGTTCTTCCTACTCATGGCCACCTAACACCCAAGCCTGATCTCTAGATTGTCAGAAAACCAATTATGTGATTTCTTCTTTTCCTGGAGACCTTCTCCTCCTCACCCAAAAACAGACTATTTTTCCTGTTCTCCATGATATTATCAATTTTTGATATGTAAATTAAAATCTAATCATGCCAGTCTAGTGTTTTGCAAGCATGTTTGGCATGAGCACAAATCCTTCCATTCAAGGCTCCATTTTGGCTATGCTTTCCAGCTTTTCTCTCCATTTCTGGCTTTCTACTAGAAAGATCTACCTAACCATTGCCTGGAGCTCCAGCAACCTTCCTTTCCCAAAGAAGGTTCAGCTTTCCTTTTCCCAAGGAAACTTCTCCAAGCTCTGGGATGGGCAAGATCTCCCAGAATACACTGTCTTATTTGACTCCAACGCTTCTTTCAGTCCTTGCCACATTGGCAACTCTATGTCCACTCCTGTGATTGTTTGAATGACAATATTCCCCTCACCTGACCCTGAGTTCCTTGAGTATAAGGCCGTTGGCCCAGTGTTCAGGGCAGTTGCTATCATATAGTAGAAACCCAATAAATACAGTGCTGTTAAAGTGACATCTGATGATGAGCTACTTGAGATTAGGCAAGCAGGTCTCTTTAATTTCAGTCTCATTCTGTAACACCCGTGGCATGGATAAATCAATGAATGATCACTCTCTCTGTGCTACTGCAAATGATTATGTTTCTCAATATGCCAAACAATTAGCCAGTCCTCACAACCAATTCAGACTGAAACGGGATTCAAGTTCAGCTATATCAGACTCCAAAACCCCTCATCCTGACAAGCCGGCATCCCAAATAAGTGGTGTACTTCTCTGAATGCTGAGTAGGTTGCATTCAAAATACTACTTTAAGCTTCCAGCACTTACTCACAAAGAATTTCATGTCTATGCTACCCACGCTGCTGCAGTAAGTAGGTATTCAATGAGCACTAGTCTTTGTGCTTGAAATGCTTGCAGTGTGGAAACAAAACAGACACCTAAAGTACAAAGCAAGAAGACAAGCCGTCCTGTTCAATGGCAGATGAGCACCAGAGACTGCATTTTTCAGAAGAATTAAGAGAGGAAAGAAGCACACGTGTGCACAGCAACTGAACTGTGGCACGACAGGATTTAAGTTGACCTTTGAAAAGTAAGATTCAGATCATCAGGAAAGAACAGAAGGTACAGTCCAGGCAAATTGCAGATTTTGGAAAAGGAACAAAATACTTGTTTATCATTGCTTCATTAAAACAAGTTTGAAAGAGCACAGAACTGTTTTAAATGAGAGCAGACTTAACTAAGAAGTAAATACGACTCTGAAGCACTTTGTTAAAAAAGAGACTCCCAGGACTATAAAAATCATGATTAGTGTTAAGTCAATACTTATTAGCTCTGCATTTGCTGCTTAGCCTCAAATGATAGGATAGAGACTCACAGGAGCTCTGAGCTCTCTGTGTGTGTGTGTGTGTGTGTGTGTGTGTGTCTGAGAAGTTTAACTTTGTCACTCTTTTACTAGAAGGGCTGGCTTCCCCAGTTATTTCTACTCAACTCTGTGTTCAGAACGTGCAGGTCACGTCTCCTGGAGACGCCTCAAGGAGCAATGCTCCTCTCATGCAACAACACACCACCCCCACCAAGTGCAAGGAAATTTACAGTTCAGGATGACTCAGCACTATTTGCATTGATTTTAAACCAAGTCAGGAAAGAGAACATCCTTAGAATCCTTAGAACAATAGACTAAAAAAGATTTTCACAATCATGGTTCACCGATTTGCTTCACGTGAGGAAATGAGTCATTTCTGACACGCGAAGTTTGGTTTCCTGTGAAGTATGGACAAGGCAGCATCCCGGGTTGACAGGCAAGAGCTTCGCTAGTCACAAAAACTGAGTGAAGTTCATGACTTCATGGCGTTCTCTGCAAGAAGGAAACCTCCCGTTCCCAGCCTGGCTTTTCATTTCACTGGGCCTGACGAAGACAGACCTGCTGAGGTGAGCTGGACCCTTGCTGTCCTCTAGAGCCCACCCCTTTCCTAGAAGTGTCACAGAGAAGAACCAAAGAGTAAAGAAAAGCAGATACTTTGCAAGGCAGGCACAGCGTGAGTGAGCTACTGCGGCAGCAAAACTGCGTTCAAGCTGTGCACTGAGGAAGGTGTTTTGCCAGGGAATTTGCAGATGGACCACACGGTCACGTGACAGGCATGCTGCTACTTAGTTCAAAGCCACCAAGGGGATTCCAAGAAGAATGTTCTGAAGAGATTCCTTTCTCTCACTCCCTGTTCTTACCGTATTATGAGTAGTTCCACCCACACGCGGACAAAAGCTGGTAGGGGGCCAAAGACTTCCAGGATGTAGGTGTAATGGCCACCAGATTTCTTTATACTTGTTCCCAGTTCCGCATAGGACAAGGCACCTGAGAAATATGTATAGTAAAAAGGGGCAAAGTTAAAATAACATCGAGTCATCCAACAGCAGAACTGATTCAAGCCTCTCTGAGTGACATGTGACTGTACCATCTGGGCTGGATAACACCCTCATTTCAAAAGAATTCAAGATCATCGAATTGCTAAGAACCAACAAATTCCCCCTGTGTCACTTCCTCAATTTGTTTGGCTCATTCTAGCCACACAATGCAATTTTACTTAAAACGAGCAAGAAAAGCCTCTAAGATAGTAATCATCTCTCTAAAATTTTAAATCTCAAACCCAGAACAAGGGGGAAAAGAGAAGACAGAAAGATAATATGAACCTGTTTTTAGATCAAAAATTCACACCACCAAGACAAGGAACTGTCCCACACTGACTTCAGCATGCGCAGAATCCTTTTAATAAATAATTTCTGAGGCACATCAAAATAAATCAGATTTATCTGTTCGTCAGTAAAGTATGAACTCTATAGGCCTGGCAAGGCTTCAGATAATTTGCAGGGTGTCTTGTTAACAAAATGAGTTTTGGTTCAGATATTCTTAATCTAGTTCTGGACATGGTTGCTCTGGAGGTTTTCGGGACAGGTGAAAGAATTTTTTTTTTTTTATATAGAGGCATGTTTTTTATTTATTTGTTTGTTTGTTTGTTTGTTTGTTTGTTTATACATGCACTGGGTACAGTCAGAAGCGCGGGAGAGTGAGAGAATTCACCAGAGCCAGAGCGGGGAGCAGAGCAGGCAGAAGGACCGAAGTACACTGCTGAGGGGAGCAGCGGGCGGCAGGAGAGGTCTGCGCGCCATGCGGGACCCTCCTCCGGTGGCCGGGGAGCAGCCGGGGATCGAACTGGCGCCGCAGAGGCCGTGGGCAGCTTCGCAACCCAGCGCTCAACCGCTGCGCCGCTGGGAAGGCCCTGAAAGAAATATTTTTTATAAAAGATACTCTACGATGTTTATGTACATAAAATTAATTATAAACCATATTTTTGCATGTAGCAATGTAATTCACATGGACTTGAGCAAGTTCTGCAATGGCCCAAATGGCGACCTCTGTAAAGTAGAAACCTCAGACTCCCCCTTACACAGGGGTTTCGTGTATGAACATGAAATGGGTAGCACAGGCCCAAAAGCACCTCATGAAATACAGTCATGCTCATTAATTTGACCAATTAATGATCAAGAAAATAAAAACTGTATTTATTGATGTGATGTGCAGAGTTCTAGCCATACCTCTCAGAACTCAAATAGAACACGCAAATTTTCGCCTGAGCCACTCCTGTGTGGGAAATTAGCATCAGTGAAGCTTCAGGTAGAACTGTCCGACGTGAATATAACCTGGGTACTCAGTGAAATCGTAGTTTCATGTATCCTATTCTGCACCTAGCACTGTCTCAAAGTCAATGACAACCCAACAAACAACGGAAGACTAAGGTCTCCTCCTATGGTCACTCCCTAACCCAGGGAGGCCAGAAGCTCTGAGAACAGGACACAAGAAAATCTATTTTCATAGTTGCAGATGATTCTAAAGTGGCTGGTCCACAGACTGTTATTTGGGGATCGCTGGTGCACTTCACCCACTGCTAACTAACTCTAACTAGTAGGATTCATTCTCTCCTGGAAATCCATCTCCATACTGGTGCACTGGATAGAAAAGTATCCAATATAAAATGTTACTGAAAAAATATCTCTGCGCTTATTGCCAGAGAATCTATCCCAGACCTATGTAAGCTTTGTTGAAACTCTAGGATGGTAGCCTTAGGTTTAAATTAAGTTCTGGAAGAATGAGATTTTCATTTAAAAGTCTCCAGCTCCATAACTATTTCACCCAGATGAAAAAAGTTCTAAACAGGATGTGAAAATCCATGTATCGACCATGGTTTAAAAAAAAAAAAAAAGTAAACGAAATATAGAGATTCTTTCCCCTTAGTACCAAAGTTTGAGAGTTTTCCAGAGGACTTTTCTCATACATTTTGCTTTGCTTCCTGAAAGGGAGTACTCTTGTCAAGAAGTTCTGAGGCACTTAAGTGACAAATGCAATGTAAATAAAGATAAGCGAGTTTACACAGGAGCATACTCCCTGCGATTAATAATCAAATAACACCTGGGCAAGCGTAACTTTAGCTAGTCCCTTTAACTTCTTTTTTTCTGAGTGTCTGCTCGTGATGATCCACTTGTAGTAGATTTTCATAGTATAAATCAACATCGTTTCAACTAGGTCAATGCACAGAGCAGTTCATCTCGTGTTTGAATAACCCTTGTCCAGCATGAAGGGCACAGCCACACAGTGGGAGCTGCAGGCCAGGTGCCAGTCCAGGAAACTGGCTGCAGCGTTTGTTATTAGACATTGATTTCTCCTGAATGGATCAAGTGCTGGAGAAGGTTAAAAGTCGAGGTAGCACAAGGTCATGACGAACATCAACCACTGCCATTCTCGTTGCCTGTGGATGTACATGCTAGAGCCACACAGAACACCACCAACACTTAAAAACCCCAAAATGATTCCTTAATAGAAATTTCTAGAATAAGGCTTTGTATTGACAAACCCACACTTAAAATCCTTTCTGATAATGGACATATGACTCCTCTACAGAAATACCCAAATCTGTGCATCCAAACATTGCAAAGCCTTAAGAATGAATAGATTGGTACGCGGAGGACCACGCGTTAGTACCTTTAAAGAGTAGTGTCTTTTGAAATCAAAACACACCAGGTGTGACAGAAGAACAAATGTATCTCAGCCACTTGCACCAGAGCATAAACAAATGCGAATTTTTTGACTCTTCACCAGTTTTAATCACTTTTACAACCAACTCAGGTAGCTTCCGAATAACATGCCTACTCCACTGGGGGCATTTATTACCATTTGACTATGAATGTTAAGTCAATAAAAGAGATGAGATCTTGAGGGGGAAAGAATAATCATGCCTCTCCTACCAGCTAACTCTGGGAACAGGTAGGCAATGATCAGTTCCTGGAGCCCAAGTGAGCGAGCGAACCCTCCATGAGGACCGCAGATCTGAGCAAGTACAACAAACACACCCCTTTCCATGCTTACGGTTTCTACTGCAAAACTTTATGGGTACCAGGGAGGGCCTCCCTGGTGGCACAAGGGGTTAATATGCAGCCTATGAAGCTATCTGCAGCCTCTGCAGCATGAGTTCAATCCCCGGCCAGGGAGATACCCACATGGCACAGCAGACCTCTCCTGACTCGCCCGCTGCTCCCCTCAGCAGTGTCTTCAGTCCGTCTGCCTGTTCTGTTCCCCGCTCTGGCTCTGGTGAGTCCTCTCACCCCCCACACCTCTGGCCTGTACCCCAGCTCTTGTATGCATAAATAAATCTTTAAAAAAAACTTTATAGGTACCAGAGAGAGATGAAAGGTTGAAAATATCTGAAGTATGTTCAGACCCTTGCAATTGCCTGGCTCATGAGCGCTTGAGTGACAGGACCCGGCATCCACCCTGGTCAGGACTTGTGAAAGAATATTAGCAACGACAAGCCGCCAAGCCCAGAAAGGAGAAGTCTGCCAGCCGTTTGCTTTGCCAATAAAAGGACAGTAAAAGTTCTGCTGAACAGCCAGTTCTGCGTCTAAATAGGCCAGGCCGGGCTCACCTCACAGGTGCAGCATCCAGGGCCAGCTGCGGGAGGCCGGACCGAGTCACTCAGCCCCAGAGAGCGCACGTGCATTTTACTGGGTCATCAAAGTTTACCTTCGCTCTCTGGCCCCAGGGAAAAGTCAGAAAACATTCTGTCCCGGTCAGAAAAAGAGGGAACAGCCACAGCCTGCAGGAGGCGAGAGAGGGGATGCAAGCGCCTGTCCCGAGGGAGCTGCGTCTGGGTCGGCTGCGCCCGGAGCGCAGCTAAAAGGGGGTGCAAAGGGGGTGCAGCCTTCGCTCTCCCTTCCCTCCTTAGCCATCAGTCTCCCAGCCAGCAAAGCCCCCTGCGCCCCAGACACACCCCCGGGGAGCAGCCGCACTCACCGAACAGCGACAGGACCCCGCAGAGGGACCAGACCAGCAGGGACATGCCCACGCTGCCCGTGTTCTGCAGCACGCCCTTGGGCGAGATGAAGATGCCGGCCCCGATGATGGTGCCGATGATGATGGACACGCCGCGCAGCAGCGTGATCTTCTGCTTCAGCACCACCTTCTGCGGCCCCGGGGGCTCCTGGCCGCCCGGGGCCGGCAGCTGCCCGCTCGCGCTCCCGGCCAGGTAGCCTCCGTTGGAGACGGCGGACACCACCGGCTTCCTGACCATCTCTGCAGCCACCCACGGGGGAAATAAGACAGGAAAAAGCACGTGAGGCACACTTTCAACTGGTGTGTCTGCTGCTCTCACTGAGCGGCCGCTGCCTCTCTGCCCTCGGATGCTCTCAGGGCTACTGTGTTGACAGGTAAAGGCTCAGAGGTGTGTTTCTCCTCACAGCTGACTGGGGCGCCTGGGAAACACCTGCGTGGCGCGGGGCTCCGGGCCCTGCACCGCCTCTGCCGACCTTGGCCGTGGCTGCAGCCCGCTGCTGTCTATCATTACAGGCCGGGCAGCTTCCTCGTGGGCTGGTATTTAAGCTTCTGCCTGTCACACCAACTTAGTGGAGCTAAATGATGATGCAAATTCTCCAGGTTTGCATCAGCCACAGGAGGAGGCTCCAGCATTACTCAGCTGTTTTTTTTTTTTTTTTTTTTTAACAGTAGCGTGTTGCTCAACTGACCCAAGCTTTGCTGAGAACAAAGCCCACACTTGAAAGGGACCGTAACCAATCCAGCAGGAGTAAATTCAGAACAGACCTTCCCCGAGAGTTGAAGCAACTCCAAGGGAGGGACAAAAGGTCTTGACGTGAAAGAAAATGAAAAATGAAACAGGAAATGCTCCCCGCCTCTCTGCAGTTCTTTTTCTGGAGCTCACGTAGAAAGCACTTCACACAAGTCTTCCGAGCTGCTTGCACAGACCCCAAAGCAGCATTGTTGGGAGCGGCATTATTGAGATTCCATATTATGCTCCTGCTTTTTTTTTATTTTTTTAATTTGGAGTTTCCTAGCAACACAGTCAAATCTAATATTTACAAAGCTAGACTGGTCTACGCTGCACCGATGCTGTCATGCATACAGCAGTTGGGGAACCGTACTCACTGTGACAAGATAAAATGGACATTTTACTACCCATAATAAACCAGCATTTTAAATCACCGACTGAGTCAGATGAAGTAAAAAACCGCAGTGACTCAAGAAAACAGCCATTGTCTGACACTGGCAGCCTAGGTTAGCTCCTGCAGGAAGTGAAAAATTCCTGTGCCTGTTGTTCCATTGAATTACCAAAAGAAATCTAATTTCAAAATAAGGCAATAATTGCAATGACCTAAAAATATGGTCTAGACAAAACTTGGAAAGGAACACACAGAAAATGATGGTGGAAGGTGATGATATGCTGCATGATTTCTTCCTCGTAGATACAGACTATTATTAAAATACAATGGTTCTCTTTAAATGAATTGGAAATGTAAGCTGAGTTTAAAATGTTTACTATGAAACGGCAAGAAGGCAAAACATTTTTAAATCCTAACTTTCTTAATCAGGTGTCCACACCACAAACACCAATTGCAAAACCCGTCCCCTCTGGCTGTGGTGACAAGAGGTTCAGGGAGGAGCCCCGGATGTTAGCATCGCCCTGAAGCTCATTGGACAAGCACCATGAAATATGCTTCCGAGAGTCTGCATGGAATGAGCAAAGAAATGATGTGAGAGTTGGGAGGGAGGGTGCAGAGGATTCAAGAAAGCTCACTAGGATGAGAAGGGCCGTAGTGTTTTCTGTTATGTGGCTGCTGAGAAATGAGGTCATGACCTTTCCTTTTTATATGATCTACCTAAACCCTATATAATTTGAACTTGGGTCTCCCATGGCAAGGTTTTATCAAGCCAATAAATACATTTTTTGCCAGATGTCATGTCTTTCCAAAAAATAAGAATAGTTGTCATCAATAATGTTGAAATTCCTCAAAAAGGACACTTGATTTATGGTTCTTCTTCAATTTCTTCTCTCTCCCTTACAAGTTCTACTCCTGGCCCCATTCTCCTGATGAATGCACATAGGGAGAGAGAGGAGGCCAAGATTTCCCTGAAAGGGGAACAGATGAGTTCTGAAGCGGTGCCAGTGAAAGTAGAACAAACACTAAGAATTCCAGGGAAGAACTTTATTTCTAACCTCAGAGACACACTCCAACTTCAAATTTCATGATAAATAACTGTGTTAATACAGTGAGATGCAGACCCACTCAGCAGAAGTCAGAGAAATCCTGAAGGAGAAAAGGGTTCTTCCACTATTAAGTAGCATTCTCCTCCTTGGCAGTATTAAAATATATATGTTTAGGAAGAAAAGTTACTAAAGTGAGACTTGAAGGATTGTACCATCTCATAAAACAGAGTCCCCCTAAAAAAGTCCTGCAAAGCTGCAATTACTAAAGACATTAGGATACCTTTTTCAATCACCCAGAAATTCACAGAAAATGCAGGTTACAAATAAAATGTTGAGTTACCTTCAAAGTTAACAAACCCTCATAATCAACATTCCTAAACTTATAAATTAAGAACTTGGATGGTCTTCAAATATGTATCATAAAAATGAGTTCCAAGCAAGTGCATTTATTTATATTCTTCCTCCTCCTGTGGCCCTTACTTTAAACATTCCTATTCAATTAAGAGATTATTCTGGAGCTATTTATAAATATTTATTTAGTGTTCACTATGCATAAGCAATAGTCCCAACACCCTAAGAGCATCTTGTAGAAAAAATAGACATGATATACAGTGCTTGGTACCTTTCCCTGGTACTAATTTCTTTCCCTGACTATTCACGTGGGCATGTAATGACCTGGCCAAAAATAATCGTCTCCCTGGCTGAAAGGTACAGGAATATGACCTGCACTGACTTACTTCTAAAAGAATCAGATTTTTCTTTTCTCATCTGTTGGGAGTTGTAAAGGTGTGACCCCAGAACAATGGGTGATCTTGAGAAAAGCCTTGTGAAACAGAGAACATGCTGTGATACTTAGAAAGTTCCAGCAACATCAAGTTCTGTTTTAGTTCCTGTCAGACCCAGATTGACTCAAGAACCTACACCTCTTCCTTTAATTCTATGAGTGACTAGTTTCCTTATTAGGCATGCCATCTCATGCCACACACACAAAAATTACACAAGTGTGGTTAGACTTAAGTGTAGGCAGCATCTCACTAAAGCTTCTAGGATTGGGTTGAATTTGGCATGTGATATAAGGGGTCACTAACCACATGTGGTGATTAGCACATAAAATGTGACTGGTACAAATTGAGAAAGGGTAAAATATCCACTGGAATTTGAAATTTTCGCTTAAAAGATGTTCATTAATAATTTTATCTTATTATCCCTATTAATTTCACTTGTTTTATTCTATTTTTATTCTTTAACCCAAAAATTAAACTTCCATTTGTGGCTCAAATTTGTGGATCACATTGTGCTAACTTAGAAGAAAACAGTCTATATCCCTCAATTTGGTACAAACAGGCATTTCTTAAAAGAGACACATGAAGTACTAACCGTAAAAGAAGAAAGACTACATTGCATTATATTAAAACTAATGATTTCAGTTCATCAAATGCACAGTTAAAAGGTTGCAAGGAGAAACCATAAAATGAGAGAAAATATTTCCAAAGACCTTATATCCAGAATAAACAATTCCTACAAATCGATAGGAGAAGCTAGATAACCCAATAGAAAGTGGTCCAAAAACTTGAACAGACCTTTGATTAAATGACCAGAACATTTGTGAAAAACTGACTGTTCAGCACTGCAAGTCACCGGGGAATTAAAACCCAAACCATGACAGGACATTAATACCCACCACCGCAGTGGTTCACATGAGAAAGACTGATGAGACCAGGAAGTAAAACAAGTAGAACTCAGGCTCCAGCATGGGGAGTGGAAGTTGCTGCATCCGCTATGCAAAGCTGTTTGGCTGGATCTACCCAAGCAAAACATACATGTGCACTTGACCAATCTGCTCACTTCCAGGCATGTGGCCAATAAGAATGCAGGCCCTCCATGTACCAAAGGACATGGGGGAGAACATTCACAGTGTGATTTATAATAGTCAGTTCTGAAAATAATACAAATGTCCACAAACTATACAATGGATAGATGTATGATTGTATTTATTCAGCGAAAAACTATAAAACTATAAAAATAAATGAAAATAGCTATGTGCAAAATGAATAACTCATGATGACAGAAGACAGGTGAAAACTGCATACCACATGATTCGATTTACAAAGAGATTAAAAACTACCCAAATGGTCCCATGGGATGAGAGCTCTCACAGCTGCCTTTGGGGCTAGGCAGACTCCAGTGGCTGAAAGCACACAGGGTCCTGGTTATGTACTGTTTTCTAACAGGAGTAGTAATTACCTGAGTGTTTTAATTTTGTGATCATGCATTAAATTGTACATTTATATTTTTGTGTTTCTGTATTTATGGTAAATTTCACTTTTTATTTATTTATTTATATAAGAACCGGGGTACAGGTTAGGTGCATGGGAGGGTGAGAAGATTCACTGGAGACAGAGTGGGAAACAGAACGGGTAGACTGATGAAATACACTGCTGAGGGGAGCAGCGGGCGAGACTGGAGAGGTCTGCGGCACCATGTGTGACCCTCGCCAGCCAGCCAGGATCGAACCCGCACTGCAGAGGCTGTGTGGCGCTCAGTCCCCTGCACCACCGGGGGAGGCCCAAATTTCACTTTTTAAAGACAAGTATTCTACTTGAAAAATTATGCCCTCCTTCCCAAAATAGATAAAGCAAAACTATAGAAAGTTTGAAAAGATGAGCAAAACTATAACAGATGAGCAAAACTACAGAGTAAGACAAACTAAGAGAGTAATTTTAGGGAGAAATTCCTACCCACCAAATAGAAAACACTATTTTTTTTTTTTTAGCATATGTGAAGTGCTAATAAAGTACTAATCCATAAGATACATGGGAGACCCCAATAAATTCCAAAGAATTAATATGTCAGCTATAGAGTATAGATTGTGCCATGATGCAATAAATTAAAAACAGCAATTATAAGATAATTGCTTGTTTTATAATTAAAATAATTATAAAAATAAATCTTGTGTGTCTAAAATTTTAAAATATACTAGCCACTCATTTTTAGATTAAAAAGGAAATATGGGAAGAAAGACTATTCACAAAATACTTAAAATTGAATAATCATGAAAATATATATTCACGTT